TAAAGTGTTTGGTTACCTTTTGAATCTTTCATACTTTGCACAAATCCAGTGGAAGGAGGAGGAGATCGGAAATTTTAATGGGATGGGGGAAGAGAATGAGATGTATCAAAGTAGAGAGAGAAAGAAAATAGTGTAACTGATTAGCGTATTTAGTGACTTAGGGCTAGGAGGTAACCAAAATTAAATATTTTGCTATAAAACTTAAAAGGTATCTATAGAATATAATTTTTTTAAATGGTATTTATTTAAAATAAATAAGGTGTTAACCTTTGCTATAGGAGGTAAAAATTCCTAATAATTAAGGATAGCTTGGTGCTACCGGGCCTCAAATATTGAGCCTTGAACCCATAGATAATTACTCAGTCCAATACTAAAAATAATTATTTAATTTATTAAACTAACACACACAATTAATTTTGTTTAAATTATAGTAGACGGCATGACCTTTCCTCCGCCTGCGCATCCTGGACCTGCCTAGGATCAGCTGTTAGTGTTGCAGGGCGACCATAGGTCCTCCTATGTATGGGAGGTATAGCAATCGGAGCAGGCTCTCCTTCCCAGGAGACCTGATGATTTGTGGGAGTTCATCATGGAGCATCCTTTTCATGCCCGCGTAGTCGCGCGCCTACAGGCTACGGGCTTCTATACTATTTTTGAGCTTGGACGGATGCAGCTTGATTGGTCTCTTATCACGGCGTTGGTAGAGCGGTGGCGACCAGAGACGCACACTTTTCACTTGCCCACTGGGGAGGTCACTATCACGCTGGAGGATGTTCAGGTTTTGTATGGGCTGCGCGTAGATGGACGGGCAGTGGCATTCCTCACACTCATTTTTTAACATAACAACGAAACCAATTTATCATACTCCATAGTAAGCGGCAATTTAACATGACACTGTGGAGGTGAGCTATACCTCACAGAGTTATTCTCCAGCACAACCTCACACCCCCCCCCCCCCCCAGTATAATGAAACCCTTATTTTTGGCTCTTCAGACATTATACAAAAATGATAGATAAGAAGAAGAGAGAAGTATGAACGGAAGTTAAAAGTTTGTATTGAATGAATTTTCATAAAATTGAAACGCCTTTAAATAAGGCAAGTCCGAGCCTGGGGTGCAGAATTTTTTTAAGGAATTCGCAGTACAATACTACGTTTTATGTGTTTGAATTATTGTTATGTCAGCTAATTATTGGCGGGACCAAATTAATAAAGAAATCGCAGTAAGTACTGCGATTAAGTAATTCGCAGTATTGTACTGCGAATTAGCTAAAAAAATAGTTTTTTAATAATACGCAGTACAATACTGTAAATCACTATTTTTTTAACTAACTAGTAGTCTTAGGGTACGCGCGTTGCGCGTGTACCCTATCTCAATAAATATATATTTTCTTAAAATATTACATACATATTATATTATAAATAGTGTTTCGCAAAAATTTCAAACTTGAAAAAGTAGATGAAAATCAAAAGCTTATACATAGGAAAGAAATATTTTCCCTATTTGCACATTAATTTTGATTTTGAGTGTGACTCGGCCACTAAACACCAAACAACATAAAATAATAAAAAAAAAAAAACGAAAAATATAAGCAAGCAAAAATAGAAGAGACAAAAGTATTTAAGAAAAGTTAAGTCACATTAGAAAATTATATCTCTTGTTAACAAATAGAANCATTCATTTGAAGTGTGAACTCGGACCACTAAAACACCAAATAAACATAAAAATAATAAAAAAAATGAAAAAATATAAAGCAAAGCAAAAAATAGAAGAGACAAAAGTATTTAAGAAAAGTTAAGTCACATTAGAAAATTATATCTCTTGTTAACAAATAGAAAGACGTAATCTTATTAAGAGCACCGAAGGATCAAAGAAAATAAGTTTTTGATAACCGTAGGAATATCAAACAAATACTATTGAGTTTATTAAGTATACTACTTGTAGATATGATACCTTGATACTTGGGGAGAGATCAATGTAGCTTGCACTTTGCAAAATTCCTGAGGTATGACCATAATACTTTATATCGTGGTATGCGGTAAATTCAAGTATGAAATTATAAAAGGAAGATAAAACTTACAAATATTAAAATAAGAGAATAAATTACTGAAATCAAAACGGGTTCATTCATCGGGATAAAACCTCTAAAGTCGACGTGCTTCTTTGAATATTTCCGATTACCAAGTACTTAGCCAAACATACTTCAAACTGTAATGTCCACAATTGAAGGAGATGCTTGCAAAAGAAGCATAAAGAAGCTTTATAAGTTCTTGTAAAAGTTAATAGAGTAGAAAAATACACGAGCAAAAATTTTGGAATCCTCCTTTTAGAAATTTATTCATTATGCAATTCTCTTTGGAAAAATAATACTTTATATAGTTGCTTTACACAATTTAAATAAGGAAGCAAAATATAATAAAATCTCACTTCATTTAAATCCCTAAATATCAGGAGTTCTTGCAAGATTCAAATAAGTAAAAAGTAAATAACCAAACTTTTAGCTGATTTTGAAGTTCTAAATATTTAAAAATTTACAAAATAAAAATAAAATTGCTTTGAAAAATAAAATTTACATTTGTCAAAGAAATAAAATTATAACTAAATTGCTTTAAACTGCGGTAAACCAAGTCCCTAAGCTAAATATTTAATAGTATTGTTCTATAATATATGAATGGTTATTAACTTTGTTTGATGATCTTGGAGGTAATTATAAATGCATAATGCACTTCAAAGCATCTAAGATTTGCATTTTTAAGTTTCTTTATCATATTTATATTTTACGCTAACTACTCTTCAAATATACACAACAGTAAGAGTCTTAGGGGAAAAAATATTTTTAAGTGGTAAAACCCTTAATTTAAATAAAAATTGATTCACAAATTTATAGTGACAATCATATCTCAAATTAATATTGTACGTCCATACACACAAGGAAAGGAGTTCAAATATAATTGAAGAAAAATAATTCTAGTTCAAATAAGGAAATATTTAATAAGTACTAATATTTTAGTTGATTTCAAAGTACTAAATTTTAGGAAAATAATTAAATGATAACATTAAAAACTCAAAGTGCTAGTTGTTAGGAAAATAATTAAATGCATATTCCTACATATTAGAAAATTAATTAAATGACTATTTTATCCAGTGTAAATTCTACATTTAAAGGGTAAAAAGGCGAACGATATTTCGCTAGCACTCTTTGTGCATATGTGAAAAATTAGAATTAACACTACTCACACGGTCCAAAAAATATACAAAATTTAGAATTTGAAAACATGCTTAATAATTCTTAGGTGTTTAGCTCTATAAAATTAAAACTAAGAAAAAAATTGGAAAAATATTTTCATTACACTACCATTCCTAACGTGGAAAAGTCAGACTTAAGGAAACATGGAAATATCAACAACTTAGACACGTGGAAAAGTCAGATTTAAGGAAAATAGTTATACAATTTAAATAAGAAATTTTTTAAGTAAAATCTTATTCAATTTTAGATTCCTAAATATTAAGAGCTTTTACATAGTTCGAATAAGGAAGTATTTAATAAGTAAAATTTAGTTAATTTTAAAGTCATAGATATTAGGAAAATAATTACATTATAATTACTATTTTATCCAATGTGAATTCTACTTTTAAAGGGTGAAAAAGGCGAACAATATTTCGCTAAGGTCTTCGTGCTTTTAATATAGTACCAGTGTCAGGATACGCGTTGCGCGTGAACCTCGACTCAAGGATTTTTTTTTTGAAGATCACATAATATTATTTTAAAAGTTATATTTGAGTTATAAAATAAAAGTTAACAAAAAAATTATAAAATTATGAAACCGATAATTGTTGCTTCTATTTGGCTAACTATATAAATAATTACCACTAAGAATTATATAGCCAATAAGAGTAGAATATTATTCATAATGTAAGATTAATCAACGAAATTTGAAGAAATTACCAAATATTGTTCCATTGGTTAGACTACCTCTTCGAACGAAACGAAACTGTTTGAAAAAACTATTAGTGAAAAGTTGATTGTTGCATTTCTTAACTATATATTATTATGGAACACAATCTTAAATTTTTTGTGCACTGATTGAAAATTAGAGATTACGATTATTTATGTGATCATTTATGATATAATAGATGTTGCCTTATTCTAAATGTTACTTCCAGATATTAACTTGACCAATGAAAAATATAGCTTGAAATTTTATTCTCAGTAAAAAGTTTTACTATAATTTAATATCGTGACTAAATATAATGCGAAAAATATTGAATATAATACAAAAATAAAAATAACTAACCAATTTAAATATTGCATACTAAACCTACACCAAAGAGACCATAGATATTGAATCCTAAATAGACACAAAAGGAACAATAGACCAGTACAAAAAGGGACAACGAAAGAAAAATACCATAAGTAAAAAAAAAAAAGAATCTTAAGAATCCTAAAGCTAAAGGAAACAAAAACCAAAGAATCCCAAACAATGTACACTCTAAGTAAGTACACGACAATTTTATTTTTTCTCCCAAAAAAATAGTTATTATAATTATAATTATATCCAACATATAATGCACTTACGAAGGGTAAAAAAGGCGAACGACATTTCTATAGGGCCTTGGTGCTTTTAATATAGTATAGATATAGATTCGCAGTAGGTATTTAGGTAACTTTTTTTTAGTAATAAAAACGTATTTTTTGTCCAAAAATACATTAGAAAAGTTTCGGACTCTCCTTTGTTGTCCTTCGAAGACGTATTAATTTTAAGAATTCGTGAAACGAGGATGCATATATCGACATATGTAGAGACGATAACTTGCAACATTTCATTCATCAATGTTGCATCTAAGCTAAAAACACTAACCTCGAAAAAGCAACATCTTACTACACAACAGCATAACGTTCACATTTGACTTATTTCTCTCTTACACACTCGGACCCAAAGCTTCCGAGAGTCGGTCATTTAAACATTGAACTTTGCAAACTGCAAAAACGACAAACAATAATTTTACCTCCCACTTCCCATAGCCCTATTCTATTCAAACGCTAGTCTTGGATTCTTGGTTCTAGTTTCTTTGCCTCGAAACTTTTCCTTTTGGCCTTTTCTCTTCTTTCCTCGATACCTATCACCCCTACTCCTTACGCTACACTAAAAAAACAAATACTCACACTCCCAAGTCAAAACGCTATAATTTCCTGACTACAAATACCCATTAACCCACACTCTATTTTCTTGAAATATCATTGGCTTAATTTTCTGAGTTTTGGAACTCCAGTATAAAAAATTCCCCATATTTCATCGAATACTAGCTGATTTGAATCCATATATTTTTGGAGTGTGCAACTTTGGTTGTTCTTTCCTTCGAGCTAGGATAGATCCTATCAGAAACTAGTCCCAGAAACATCTTTCATTTATCTGGACCTAGACTGATCTTTACTCCTGTTTGTTAGAGAGAAAATGGTGCAACTGCAACAGGAGGGCGAAAATGAACACAAGGGTACCAATTTTTTCATCAATGACAATATTGACGTGCTGATAGAGATATTGCAAAGGCTGGATGGTGGCTCCTTAGGGGTTGCTGCATGTGTTTGTAGACTTTGGTGTTCCATCACTAGGAACGACTCTCTCTGGGAACACCTCTGCTTCCGCCACGTGTCGCCGCCTCCGGATGGTGTAAAGACGGTGGTGTTGGCTCTAGGAGGGTACCGGAGACTGTACATGGTGTGTGTTAGGCCAGTTTTGGACCGACTGAAGAAGTGGAAAATAGGAAAGGAGTCTGACTCGGAAGTTGTTAGAAGAGTTTGGACACGGCATGAAGTGGAACTTTCGTTATCGTTGTTTTGTGTGGATTATTATGAAAGGGTGTTTTTGGGTGGTGGTAGCGGTGGTGGAAACAGCGGAGGAAGACTCAGAGGTGGAGGTAGCGGTGGCGCTGCGGCAGCATCGTCGCTTATGTTCCTTTGCAACGCCGTGAACGTTTGAAAAGTTGAAATCATTTCGATCACTATAAGTATAAGGTAGCGAAAAGAACGATGACATATTAGATAAAGCAAGGTCATCTTTTTATGTTTGCTAGTTTTATTTTTCATTTTTGGTAATTGAAATTTCTTGTATTTGTTCCCAATGGAGTATTATTAATTATTACTAGCAATAAATAAAGAAAATCAGTTAATATTCTGATAGATTATTTTTTGTTTATCTTGTTCAACTAGTAGAAATACGCAAAAAAAAAAACGACCAAAATTTGGTCGGTCAAAAAAAGCGACCAAAAACCGTCCAGCTTGGAGGCAAACTGGAAAAAAAATATTTTACGCTTATTTTTAAAAAAATACCGACCAAAGTTGGTCGGTAAATTGGTCAACAAGTTGACCGAGCTGGTCAGACTTGCTTAGTCAAAGAAACTTTCACATTACCGACCAACTCTGGTCGGTAATGTTGACCCAATTTTTTAAATTTTAATAATTATATTATTGTTCAAAATATTTTATAAAATTTAAGAAATTTATATTTAAAATTATCGACCAACGTTGGTCGGTTAATGCTAGGGAAGCATTTACCAACCAATTTTGGTCGGTATATTTTATTTTCTGGAAAATAACCGACCAAAGTTGGTCGGTTATTAGGTCAACATTGGTTAAAATTATGAATCACTTTTATATTTACTATCTAAATAATATAAATGTAACCCGTTAACACTTTTGTAATACAAATAATAAATACACTAACATATACTATAACATGCTAAATATGTAGTTAAAGTAGTACAACGAAGCGCGTGTTCTAAAGGCGTTTTGAAGCCTTTAGAACCTCATTCTAGACTTCCTCGATTTGCATGCGCAGTTCAGGTATTGACCCGGAAGGCTTATATGTTAAAAACTGATAAAAATAAGAATTTTTCCTTCAAAGTTAATTTTAGTTGACTTCGGTCAGCGTTTTGAGCAAACAGACCCGGATTCGTATTTTGACGGTGTTGCTGGGTTCGTATCGAAATATAAAACCTGGGCATATGCCCGGAAGCGAATTCTGAGGTCCCTGGCTTGAGATATGGAATTTTGATGAAAAATTAAAAGTTTGAAAGATTAATGATTTTAAGAATTTATTTATATTTGATCTTGTTGATACCGGATCCGTATTTTGGTTTCAGAGCCCGGTACAGGTTCACTATATTATTTATGACTTGTCTGTGAAATTTGGTGAGAAACGGAATTAGTTTGACGTGATTCGGATGTCCATTGTGAAAATAGAAGTTTTAAAGCTTTTTTAAAAATTTCATTCAACTTGGTGCCAAATTCGTAGTTCTAGGTGTTATTTTGGTGATCTGATCGCGCGAGCAAGTTCGGATGCTGTTTTAGGACTTGTGTGCATGTTTGGTTTGGAGACCCGAGGGCTCGGGTGAATTTTGGATAGGCTACGGGATGTTTTGGACTTAGAAAATCTGGTTTTTCTACTGTTTCAGGTGCCTTTTGGTTTCCTTCTTGCGTTTGCGAAGGTACTCTCGCAAAAGCGAAGTAGAAACTGGGAGGGCTTGGTTTTTCTTCTTCGCAAACGTGAAGGCTTGGTAACGAATGCGGAGCGATGGGGGCCTTACCCTTCGCGAAGGCGACCAGTTCAACACGAACGCGAAGCATATGGGACCTGGGGGAGGGGTCAGTTATCCTTCTACGCGAACGCGAGCATTGGCTCGCGAACGCGAAGGCCAGGGGGGAGCAGCCTTCGCGAACTCGGATGAGGACTCGCTAACGCGAAAGCCACTCAGGCTGTCGCTCATCGCGAATGCGGCAGGCCCTTCGCGAACGCGAAGAAGGCCTGACACCTGTGACTTAAAACAGAATAGTAGCGAGATTTTTCCCAAAATTTCATAACACTTCCATTAGAACTCGGCCTAGGAGCAATTTTAAAGGGAAACTCAGCATCAAATCATAGGTTTGTACTCTTTAACTCATTTTCTTCCATTTCTAACATCTCCCATTAAATTCCTACCCCTAATCTTTGTACTTTCATGGTAGAAAACTTGGGATTTAGGAAGAATTGGCTGTTTTTGCAAATTGGGGATTTAGACCACGAATTGAGGTCGAATTCCAAAACCAATTATATATACGGGCTCGGGGGTGAATGGGTAAATGGATTTTGGTCCGAACTTCGGATTTTGACCAAGCGGGCCCGGGGTCGATTTTTGACTTTTTGGGGGAAAGTTTGAGAAATATAAATTTATGCATTGTAGTTGATTCCAATAGAAATAATTGATGTTATTGAGTTAATTGTGGCTAGATACATGTGTTTTGGAAGTGGATACTGGAGGAAAAACGGTAATTGAGCATTGAGTGGCCCGTGGAGCGAAGTAAGTGTCGAGTCTAACTTTAACTCGAGGGATTAGGAACCCTTGACTTATTTGCTATATGACATCCATGTGAGCGGCGTATATGTGAGGTGATGAGTACATATGCCCCGCCAATTTATCTTTTTTTGCCTGTTTCTTTCCCGTTCTTCTCATATTGTCTGTCTCCCTGTCATAATTGATACATGCTTTATTTGTATTTCCATGCTTAATTGCTACCTGATAGACATTGCTCTTTTTGTTGAAGGTATTAGTTATTTCTTAGCTTCATTGTTTCCTATCATCTGCTTAGGCTGGTTATCGGTACTTCATGATATATTCTGGATTGGTCACGCTGAGTAGTTTTACTTGTGTAAAGTTTCATAGTGTACAAGCTTTCTAATTCTTTGGTTGGAAGTTAAGCCTCGTAAAGAGTTATGTGATTTGAATTGTGAAATTGTTGCTGAAAAACTGATACTGATATGGTGGGGTCGGGTTGCGCGCCGCAACGGGTGTAATAAGGGTGAATTGAGGTGTAATAAGGGTTAATTGTGGTGTAATAAGGGAGAACTGTGAATGTGATTATTGTGATATGGTGGAATCGGGTTGCACGCCGCAACACTTTTACTTATATTCAGTTGTTTATGTTAATAAGCGGAAATAAGGGAGGAATATGAGATGTACGGTGGAATCGGGTTGCGCCGCAACAACCTATATGTTTATACTTTTCCTTGACTGTGTTAGCTGTACGATATTTTAATAGTAGCCGAACACTATGATATGCTTCGAGAACTGTATTCACTTCTTGTAAGTTACTGCTCTATTTTATCTTGTCTTTCTTTCTGCCTTTATTATATATTGTATGTAGGTTATATTGTGATTGCCCTGCCATAGCCTCGTCACTCATTCGTTGAGGTTAGGCTTGGCATTTACCAATACATGGGGTCGGTTGTACTGATACTGCACTTTGCACTTCCTGTGCAGATTTTGGAGTTGGTTCGAGCTGATCGAGAGGTTGGCTATATGATTTGTCAGCTAGGAGACTCAAGGTAGACCTTCCGGGCGTTCGCAGGCCCTAGCGTCCCCTTCTATTCCTCATACTTTACTATTTTCTTTATTTCGCAAATAGTTGTATTTTCTTTCGGACAAATACTTGTAGTAAAAATTTTAGAATGTTCGTGAATTGTGACTCAGGATTCTGGGTAGTAATAGTACATAATCAAAGTTGTTATTTATTTACTTCCGTGTTCATTTCGACTGGTTTTAGCTTGTTTATTGTTAATCACTGAAACATAAAGGAATTGGCTAATAAATCTCTAACGTTAGCTTGCCTAGCAAGTGTCATGTTAGGCGCCATCACGGTCCCGATGGTGGGGATTTCGGGTCGTGACAAGTTGGTATCAGAGCACTAGGTTGCCTAGGTCTCACGATTCACGAACAGGCTTAGTAGAGTCTGGAGGATCGGTATGGAGACGTCTGTACTTATCTCCCAGAGGCTACAAAGTCTAGGAACAATTTCACTTTCATTCTTCTCTATCGTGCGATTTTGTTCTCTCAAATGCTAATTGGGCTCTTCTACTCTTGTTCTTTTACAGATGGAGAGGACACGTACCGTATCTTCAGCTGAGCAGCAGCCAGAGCCCCCAGCTGCAGCTCCTACGTGGGGCAGAGGACGAGGCCGAGGCCGTGGCAGAGGCCGAGGCAGGGGCAGGGCTCAGCCCAGAGCTCGAGCAGCAGCACCACCGGTGGAGCCTCAGGTAGAGTTTGATGAGGAGGCTCCAGCCCAGACCGTTCCAACAGGACCAGCTCAGGTCCCAGAGGGGTTCATCCCCACCCCGGTACTTCAGGATGCTTTGGTCCGTCTAGTGGGCCTCATGGAGAGTGTGGCATAGGAAGGAACATTTCCTATAGCACCAGCCATCTCTCAGGCTGGGGGAGGAGCACAGACTCCCACGACCCACACTAGAAAGCAGATGGCTCCTCAGTTTCAGACACCAGCAACCCCACCCGTAGGGATAGTTCACCCGGGTGTTGCAGCACATACCTGTGATGGATCGGCTATGTCTTCTGAGGCCTTGTAGAGATTGGAATGGTTTACCAGGCTTTTCCCGGTTCACTTCTGCAGTGCATCTTTAGAGGATCCTAGGATTATCTGGACGGCTGTTGTGAGGTGTTACGGAACATGGGGATAGTGGAGATCAATGGGGTCGACTTTGCTGCATTTCATTTGTCGGGTTCCGCCAAGAAATAGTGGAGGGATTATATGTTGGCCAGACTAGCTGGGTAGCTGGCTCTTACTTGGGACCATTTCTCTCAGCTATTTCTTGAGAAGTACCTGTCACACCTCTTTTTTCTACCCCGAAAAGGGGTATAGGGGAGTTTTTCCAATTAAAGTGACAATAATCGAAACGGGATCATTTATTTCAAATTCAGAGTCGTCACTTGGGATAATTTATAGTGTCCCAAGACACTGATTTAAAATCCCAAATCGAGGAAGTTTGACTCTTATTTATGGTCTGCGAACACAGAAATCCGGGTAAGGAATTCTATTAACCCGGGAGAAGGTATTAGGTATTCCCGGGTTCCGTGGTTTTAGCACGGTCGCTCAACTATTATTATTGGCCTATTTATCTGATTTTAAAACATCTTTGAAACCTATGTGCATTTTTATCCCTTTTGAAAACCACTTTTAATAATGCACGATTGTCATACAGCTAATTGTTTGATTACACATTGCGAATCATGTCACGGGAACCGTACCCACGATCTACAACATGTTTATTTTATTAACGAGATTAACTTGTGGCCGGGTGACATAAATGTACCCCCGGATTTGGAAATTATGTATCAC